GGAAGGACCCGACATGTAGAAGAAGATTGAGTTAAAGTGTTATGTGAACAGTTGTAGTTCTTTACTAGCTTTAAGTCCAGTGTTAAGAAAAGTTTTGTTGTGTTTGATAAGCAATGCTTCAAGAAAAGTAAGAATGTTGTAGTTGTTAGATTTTGTAATGTGAAGTATTCTGTAGCTGTTGAAAACAAGGTTTTCAATAGGAGAGAAGTTGTCAGAAGGCGAAGGAAGATCGTTGAGTAATGTGAACTGGTCTTGTAAAGTATCTAAGAATTGAGTATGTTCACACTCAGAAAAATGTTGGCCCACTGCACTAGAAGAGAGCCTAGTTGCATGCTCTTTCAAACGTACACAAAGGCATCTTTGTGTCATGCCAATATAAGTTTTGCCACAACCGGGGCAAGCGACCTCGTATACAAAATTACTACGAAATAAAGGAGGAAGTTTATCTTTGTTGGAAACAAAATAAGAGAGCTTTTTAGTGTCATAAATAGTGATGAACTTAACAGGTTTAGAAAGAAATCTTTGTATTTTATTAAGACATGATTTTAAAAGAAAATCGCCACGGTTTCCGAGATAAGGAATACGAATCCAAATTTTAGGATTCCAAGGAATACGAATCCAAATTTTGTTGCTTTTGGTGAAGCGAATACCTTAATTTGACTTGTTGCTTTTGGTGAAGCGACTTGTTGCTTTTGGTGATTACCCCCGTATAGGCAGGAATTTGACAGCCCGGTCGGGAATTTGACGGCCCAGCCGGGCATTTGACCACTTGACAACAACTTGCTCAGCAGTTTTCCCTAAAAATATGTGTACATTCTAGCGCTTTACGAGTTTTCTATTTTGCATCTTTTCGATAGTTTGAAAATTGCTTCTGAATCACAAATATCAATCATAGATATATGATACAATATGCCCAGTTGAACAAAAAGAAGAACTGTCTGGCCTATTTTTCGTTCTTTTTAATCTTGAAATACTTGTTCAATTTAATTTTAGTCAAAATTCCAGAACAGGACTACCCCTATAGCAGGGCATTTGACTGTGGTTTCTGCCTGTTCGGGCGGGCATTTGACCAATTATTTTTTCAAAAGTCAAATTCCCGGGGGGTTGCCCGGGGGGGGCCTGATCGCGCTTGGAATTGACTCGTACATTAAAGTGACGGCACCGGTCAAAGGCGAGCAATAATAATATGAACCAACTTTGGGAAGCAATAGCGTAATGCACAGTCATTTGCCCAAAGTAATATTTATATCATTCGAAAGAACATTATTTAGACTTGAAATTAGCAAAGTTTCAAGACGTTGAAAGCTTAAGAGGCTGTCTCTCTAAGAACCGACCAATGACTCTCGGCTCATAAAATGAAATTCTTCGTTACTTTCACAATGAAATGTATTTACCCCAAGAACGAACAAACACTATTTGGAATTTTGAAATTTTATTAATTTTTAAAATTTCAGCGACTTTTCGTCCCGCGCCGTCGGGCAGAAAATCCTCTGTCTAAATCAGGAATAAAAATTAGCCGAATTCAAATACATATAATTTTAAAAGTATTCAACCAAATTTTATGATTTTTTAACCCACCAACGTGAAAATTATTCTACTTTGAAACTTGCCTTGTTTTGTGATACTTTTACAGAAAGATTATGGCAAACTTTAGCGATAACAAGCACCGGGTGTAAATACGGCTTTGTACGCATATCAAATTCGACTTTAAATTTCTCAAAAGTGGCACCTAACTGGATTCAGTGACTAATATGGTTAAAAAAATGGAAGTTTGAAGTACCCATTTCCACAATAAAACTTGTAACTGACCGCGATTTGAAGACTCGACAGCCTCTGAAATTTGATACAATTTGGCTATTTTGTTTAGCTACAATTATAGCGGAGTTGAGACGTCAGAGCTTCCAGTCACTTGTAAAATGCGCTCTTGCTCCGTTTTTTTTTTACACAAGCCTTTAAATCATCGTAGTTAAGCGATTTTTCTGTGTTCATGAACATCACAAGTGGGTTTAATTAAAAAAGATTTCGATCGATGCAGCGAGGTATTATCAAACGTGGTACGCTTTCGTATTAAAATTAGCTACTCGGGGAAAACCCGGAAATTATTGTCAAATTGACAATGCTGATATTTATTAATCTAAACTCTGTATGTCTATTCTGCAAGATTGGGAATGAATTTAAGAGGTTATCTCTCTAAGAACCGACCAATGGCTTTAGGCTCAAAAAATGAAAGTCTTCGTTACTTTCACAATGTCTTTTATGATTTTTTCGCCCACGCACGTGAAAGTTATTCTACTTTGAAACTTACCTGGTTTTATTATGCTTTTACAAAACTATTATGGCAAACTTTAGCGATAACAAGCACCAAGTCCAAATACGGCTTTGTACACATATCAAATTCGACTTTAAATTTCTCAAAAGTGGCTCCTAACTGGATTCAGTGACTAATATGGTTGAAAAAAGGGAAGTTTGAAGTGCCAATATCCATGCACAATAAAACTTGTTACCAACCGCGATTTGAAGACTCCCAGAGCCTCTGAAATTTGTTACCTTCAATTATCTCGGAGTTGAGACGCCAGAGCTTTCAGTCATTTGTAAAATGCGTCGTTTCACGCAAGCCGTTAAGCGATTTTTCCGTGTTCATGAACATCAGAAGTTGTTTTAATTCGAAAAGATTTGGCTCGATGCAGCGAGGTAAACGTTACAGCGAGGTAAGCGAGGTAAAATAGAGTCATTGCTAATTTTGGCACTCCCGTCATAAACAGTCTAATCGTGCAACTTTCTATAGCTTCTCTTCCGTGTAATGCACAGCAATTCCATTAGTATATATTTCACAATTTCGATTCCCCACTATATCTTCACATGATACTATACTTTATTGGGGTAATTTACGCATTAATTAACATTCCCCTTTTTGAATACATCGTGAACAGTTTCTACCATTATTCTGCTCGACGTTTCATATAAGAGTCCCCACATGCCCTGGCCTACCCACACCCCCAGTACGACCCTACCCCAACCTCGCGTTTTTGTGACGTCATTTGAAAACTCTTTTATGAAAATAAACTTCACCCTTTATTAGCTCTCCTTAAACAATTCCAGGTGAAGTTGATATAAAGGTCCTCAAATGACATCACAATAGAGGTGGGGTGGGTGTAGGGTAGGGCTCAGGATAGAGTTGGGGTCATTTGGAGACTATTCCATATATGACTCTTCTATTAAATTTCAGCCAAGCCCTGGTTGAAACACTAATCAAAACCCTTATTCGAACTTTGAATCCAAATCCAATTCAATTGGCATGCACGATTGCAACTGGATCTTTTTGAATAATCAGTATCTATAGTAGTCTTCTAGATCAAGTCTTTTTTCCAGTTTAAATTCATTTCCAATCGTGCAGAATAGACATACAGAGTTTAGATCACAGAATAAGGGTTTAGATTAATTAATAAATATCAGCATTGACAATTTCTGGGTTTTCCCCGAGTAGCTAATTTTAACACGAAAGCGTACCACGTTTACCTCGCTGCATCGATCAAAATCTTTTTTAATTAAATCCACTTGTGATGTTCATGAACACAGAAAAATCGCTTAACTACGATGATTTAAAGGCTTGTGTAAAAATACGGAACAACAGCGCATTTTACAAGTGACTGGAAGCTCTGACGTCTCAACTCCGCTATAATTGAAGCTAAACAAAATAGCCAAATTGTATCAAATTCCAGAGGCTCTCGAGTCTTCAAATCGCGGTCAGTTACAAGTTTTATTGTGGATATGGCTACTTCAAACTTCCCTTTTTTTAACCATATTAGTCACTGAATCCAGTTAGGTGCCACTTTTGAGAAATTTAAAGTCGAATTTGATATGCGTACAAAGCCGTATTTACACCCGGTGCTTGTTATTGCTAAAGTTTGCCATAATCTTTCTGTAAATGTATCATAAAACAAGGTAAGTTTCAAAGTAGAATAATTTTCACGTTGGTGGGTGAAAAAATCATAAAATTTGGTTGAATACTTTTAAAATTATATGTATTTGAATTTGGCTAATTTTTATTCCTGATTTAGGCAGAGGATTTTCTGCCTGACGGCGCGGGCCGAAAAGTCGCTGAAATTTTAAAAATTAATAAAATTTCAAAATTCCAAATAGTGTTTGTTTGTTCTTGGGGTAAATACATTTCATTGTGAAAGTAACGAAGAATTTCATTTTATGAGCCGAGAGTCATTGGTCGGTTCTTAGAGAGACAGCCTCTTAAGGTGCAGGCCAAGTCTGTCTAGGCCTCTTTCATCGATATTTTCCTGGCTTATTATACCCAAATTTCTTGCTTCACAGAGACCCTTTAGCAGGTTATTCAGTTGGGCGACTTTTTTGTTAATGCCAGGGCTATCAGTTCTAGTTATTATTTGCGAAAGTGTGATGTCGATCTTGGGGCTGAAGTTCATCACAAAGCTTGGATATGTTTTCAGTTAGGGTTTTCACCTCACTTGATTTCAAATCGTTGGTCCCAACGTGGATAATAATATGGGCAGGTTGTAAACGCAAGGATGGTTTAATGTATCTACCATATCCATAACCGTTGCACCAGGAAATGTACGGATAATTACATTTTGCTGGTTGACCTTCTTATGTTCCTCGTATTGATTCCTCTTGTCAAAGAGTCTCCTAGGATAGAGTCTCCTTCTCCAGCATGCTTTTTAGGACGGTGGTGGTGTTGTTTGGGTAGTGAAGTATCGTTGTAAGGCTGCTGTTGATGATCTTGTTGCTGCTGAGGTGGCTGTTGCTGATCATGGTGTGGCTGGTGTGATTGTTGCTGCAGCTGATGCGTATCATTGTTGCGGCTAATGTATTGCTGTTCGGCCTGTTCCCACTTGGGGTCTGGGTTGATGATCAAACGTATTACTATATGCATGGTTCCTCTCAGTGATTTCTTGATTAATTTGAGGCTGGACAGAGGGGCCTACATATTGGCTTTGTAGGCGATGATGGGTGTTGTCATGTAAGTGAGCTACTAGATGTTGTCGCTGATATATATGTTGCGGTAGCAGTTGATGTTTCTGTTGTGGTTTGGGCTGGTATGATTGTTGCTGTGACTGATGTGTCTCGTTATAGGAATTTTGGTGAACACGTTGTTGTTGTTCCCTCTGATATCTGAGTCGTTGGTCAAGCGTATTATCATATGCATAGTTCCACTTGGTGCTTCTTTGATCTGTTTGAGTTGGAAGTGATTGATGTAGGTTGTTAATATGAGCTGAGGGAGCAACATGTTGGCTTTGTTGGCTCTGCAGGGGATGATTAATATTGGCATGTAAATTAGCTACTTGTTGTCTCTGATAATGAGGAAAGTTTTGATTTTCTACTTGTAGTATTCTGATTACTGTTAGTAAGCTATTCCGTTCATTGTTAAGTTCTTTTAGCTTACTATCCAAGTCAGATATCAAACATGATTGATTTTTTATTTTTTCATTCAAATGTGAGATTTCTTCCTTGAGTGATAGATTTTCATTTAAAGTACGAGAAGATCTAATTTCAAATGATAGTTCAGTGATCGATCTAAGTTCACGCATATCACCCGAAATAATATCAAATAATTTCTCCTAGCCTGATGGCAAGAGCACACAATATGTTGGCAAGAGCACGCAATATTTGTATTTTAAAGTACAATGCTCTTTCCAATATTTATCCCTATCTTTCTATATATTTATATACCATATAAATAAATTAATACATATACCGTAAACCTCCGACTATAAGCCCTGGGCTTATATACTTTCGTAAGTGATTTTGGATGGGCTTATACAAGGGTGGGCTTATATACGGGGGGGGGGGGG